TTTTTTGAGACAGGGTTTCTCTGTGTAGCTTTGCGCCTTTCCTGGATCTCGCTCTGTAGACCAGGCTGGCCTCAAACTCACAAAGATCTGCCTGCCTTTGCCTCCCGAGTGCTGGGATTAAAAACGTGTGCCACCACTGCCCGGCAATGCTGCATTCTTTTGTGTGTGGTGTGTGTCAGGGTGATAGTACTGAACTAGTGACTATAGCATATGCAACATTAATTGGGAAATAACTCTAAGCTTTCATTTGATAAATGTGACCACAGAAGTATTTGCTGTATTAAGAATGCTTCAGTTAATGTAAAATAAAATAAAAAAATTGCAGCACATAGTATATTAAAAGATCAATATAAAGACGCAAAGCTACACAGAGAAACCCTGTCTCAAAAAAACCAAAAAAAAAAAAAAAGATCAATATAAAAAACATTGTAATAACTTGAAACAAAAACAAGAATCATCAAATCTAGGTTGTTTCCCTAACCTTTAATGGATACTGAGCTCTTACCACACAACTAGAACAGTATGGATACTGTTCTAGGTACTAATACATATGACAGGAGATCTCTGAGCAGTTTGGACTGGTGTGAGAGATAGAAAAAGAGAAGACATTTCCCAAAAGTAAAAATTTCAAATAGTGATTATATTGTTAAGAAAAAAAACATCAGGGCAGTGGTGGTGCACGCCTTTAATCCCAGTACTTGGGAGGCAGAGGTGGAAAGTTCTCTGTGAATTCAAGACCTGCCAGGGGCACATAGTGAGTTCCAGGACAGCTAGGGCTACATAGAGAGACCCCGTCTCAATAAAACAAAACAAAACAACTAGAAGGAGGAAATTGTGTCTGGTACTGGAAACCTAGTCAGTTCTACCCCAGGTTAGAGGTAGAAGTCAAAAATCTTGCAGAGAACCTACAAGTACCACTTACTAGACCAGTATATTCCTTTGTTACATTCTAACTATTCATCCGCATACCCACAGACTAGTGCAGTTCTCACCCTCATCAAGGAAACTTCTCCTTGCAACAGATGGAGACCATTAGAGAAAGCTACACTGATGATGAAAATGAGTTTTGTGGAGCCCAGTCCCAACTGATGTATCTACAGCACAACTCCTGCATCTAAGTAAGGTTCAGCAATCATTGGAAAGGGGGCAGAAAGACTGTAAGAGCCAGAAGAGCAGGGAGTTTGCTATGAGGTTTTTGTCTCCTAGAAAAGTCAAAGAAGCTACATCCATGAAGTCTGAACAATATAGCTTTCTAAACATAAGCTGAAGAGGGATGACACCAAGAGAAGTTTTGTTTTGTTTTTGGGGTTTTCGAGACAGAGTTTCTCTCTGTGTAACAGCCCTGGCTGTTCTGGAACTCACTTTGTAGACCAGGCTAGCCTCGAGCTCAGAGATACCCCTCTCCCTGCCTCCTGAGTACTAGGATTAAAGGTGTGCACCTCTGCACCTGGCTCACCAAGAGACATGTTAACATGGAACTGTGGGCAACTAGACAATGCTGAGAGCAGAGAAATAATATTCATAAGGGAAGAACATACCAATTGATTATCTACTACCAAATGGTCAGCCCTGAAAACTCATAGAAGTAACGTTATACAGAGCAAGTGTATTTATATATTTATGAATCCGAGAGTGTGCACGCGCGTGTGCGATAATGAAGAAGAAAGCTATGAATTTAACAGGGGAGTGGGCGTGTGGGAGGGAAGAGGAGTGAAAATGCTGTGATCTCAGACGTTCTAGAACCCATTTACCTCATACACCTCGAAATGTAATTTCTCAGCAGCTCAAAATTGACCATGATTTCAAAAATGTAAAAAAAATGTGATTCAGTTCTGATATGGGAACTGTTTTGTTTTTTTTAAAAATATTGGTCAGATTTTGAAGTTATATTAGGTTCTATGATATTTAAATTCATAAATACTTTTCATTTTTCGCCTTTTGTATGTTTCTTCTTGAAGATGTTTTTGTGATGAATAAAAATTTCTTCCTGGGTCAAGAGATGGGTTGTTTCTTTTGGAAATTATTTGTGGCTTACTTTTTATTTTTTTCTTCCCTATGAGATTGCATTGATTTTGGTCTGTGGAGAGAGAAACTTTCTCTGACATGTTTGTGTTTTTCCTATGGTCTCTTGCAGTAGTGAACTGTAGTGATTTGATTCACTAGTTCACAAGTCACTGGCAGGTGTCCTTATTGTTGTTCAGGGGCCTTGAGGGTCAGAGAGGCTTCTGTCAGATATTGTCATAGGTAAAAAACTCGGTATGTGGCTAAAGGAGCAAACTAGAACGTTCTTTGTTCTTTATTGTTTAACTGTCACGGAACCAAGTTTTTCAAATAGAGGAAATTCTCCAACTTTCCCTAAAGTAATAAATGATGTTTTTACTGGGGTGGTGGTGGTGGTGGTGGTGGTGTATGCCTTTGATCCTGGCACTTGGGATGCAGAGGCAGGTGGATCTCTGAGTTTGAGGTCATCCTGTTCTATAGAGCTAGTTAAACCACTATTTTAAAGGAATTCCCTCAATGAACAGATATTTTTGTTTTTTTATATTACTGGAGATTGACCTGAAGACACACAAAGATTGACGCCTGTTATTTTGCAGGTTTTTTTTTTTTTTAATTAACCAGTTAGAGACTTTTTAGAGTTTGAGAAAGATAATATAATAAGAAAAGGAACTTCCATTTGTACTGCTTGGTAAGTTACTGTTGGGAATGTAAGATTTGTAGAGGAGGAAAAGGATAGGCTTTTATGAAACAGAACTGCCAGCGCTCATGAGTCAGCCTGTGTGTCTCTTAATTCTGACGACCTTGTGTACAATGTTTCTCTTTTAAAGGAACTTTGAACATAACTTCAAAAGAAGATTTGATCTTTATTTCTGGATTGCATCTATAAGGCCACCAGAATGTCGGGAGCCTCAGTGAAGGTAGCTGTTCGAGTAAGGCCCTTCAATTCTCGAGAGACCAGCAAGGAGTCCAAGTGCATCATTCAGATGCAAGGCAACTCGACCAGTGAGTACAAGTTGTTTTCCATCAGTGCATCTCTTCCCTTCCTCCTCCTCCATGTGCTCAGAATACATGAGTGTCGTCTGCATCCTAACACTTTGAACCTTGCCATTCCAAGTGACCTAGTGAATGTTTTCCACTTAGGACTGTGTGTGTGCAGCACTCACATATGGACTGTTTATTTCACTGTATAATTGAGAGAACCTGAATAGCTTAAGTAATTCAGCTGGTGTTGGTGGTACTTACCAAGTTTAGATTCTATGACAGTAAAGGTATAAGCAGTGATTTTTACTAAATTCTGAAGTACAATATAACTTTAAAGCCCCAAGATTGTTTTTATTTCTTTTATTAAATATAATTTGAGCTTGCTAAGATGCTCTTAAAACTTATTCTCTTGATTTATAATGTTTGATTGGAGCATTGGTTATGATTGTAATATATAGTAAACTGCCAGGCACGGTGGCACACACTGATAAATCTTGGGACATTGAGGCAGGAAGAAGTTTGAGTCCAGAGTGAGCTACAGAGTGAGTTCCAGGCTTGCCTGGTTATATAGTGACCCTATTTTGAAAAATGCAGCGTAGTCAGCATATACTCAAGCAGTCATTTCTTCTTTCTTGTTTCTCTGTTAAACTGCTTAGATAAAAGTGACTTAAGCTGTTTCTCTTGCACTTGTATTACTAAATTATCTTATATGGGTCTATAGGCAAAATATCAATTTAGGTAGGAGTAGACACTACCATCTTTTAGTCTCTACTTTGTAATAAAGCAGCGTTGCTGATTTTTTTTTTCAGACTGCTTACTGCTACAGCCTCACAGTGGAATTCTTATTACAATAGGAATAATATAACATCTAAAATAACTGTGTGTTGTCAGTGATCCATCTGCATTAATTATTTTCTTCATTGCTGCAATGAAATACCTGACGAAACAACTTGTGGAAGGAAAGGTTTATTTTGGCTTCCAGTCTGAGGGTGTGATCCCATTGTGGCAGGCAAGACATAGCTGCAGGGGTGTGAGGCTGCTGGCTGCATTGCATCCACAGTCAGGAAGCAGACAGACAGACAGACAGACAGACAGACAGAGACAGAGACTGCTACTCAGCTCACTTTCTTCTTTTTGAAAAACAGAACAAGACAAAAAACAAAACAAAACCAGCCAGTGTTGATCAGCTGCTCAAGTACCAAGTTTGCTTCTGAAAACTCTTTAAGTATTGATCTCCTATACAGAGTAATCAAGTCATCTGCCATAAGCCCTCTTTTCAGTTCTTTTCCTTTAAAAAAAAAAAAAAAAAGCTGTCAGTGGTGGTGCACGCCTTTAATCCCCTCACTCAGGAGGCAGAAGCAGGCGGATATCTGAGTTTAAGGCCAGCCTGGTCTACAGAGTGAGTTCTAGGACAGCCAGGGTTACACAGAGAAACCCTGCTTGAAAAAAAACAACCAACGAACCAATCAAACAAAGAAACAAAAAAGCTGAGTGTGAAATCACATTGCTGGGGAGGTGAAAACAAGCAGATTACTGGGGCTCCCTGGCTAGCTGGCCAGCCTAGCCTACTTAGCAAGTTCTAGGCCATTTTAGAGCCCCTGTCTTAATAAATGACGTAGATGGTTTTCTGAGGAATAACATCTGAGACTGACTTCTGGTTTCTATATGCATGCATATATATGTGCATGTACACCCATTCACACACAAACACACATACACACATAAAATCAAAATAAAAACTACAGACATAAGTTTGGAATCGGGCAAATAAAATAATTTAGTAATGGGATAGCTGTAGGGTGCTGTAGGAATAAATAGATTAAGGTTATTTTTTTAAAAGATTTATATTTTGTTCTATGAGTGTTTTACCTGTATGTATGCAACTGTACTATGTACATACCTGGTGCCTGAGGAGACCAGAAGAGGGTTTTTGATTTCCTGAAACTAGAGTTATAGATGGTTGTGAGCTATCACATGGGTGCTGGGTCCTGAACCTGGATCCTCTGCAAGAGCAACAAGTATTCTTAATAAAAAATAGTCTTAGATTGAGAGAGTACATGCAGCCAGGTGGTGTTGGTGGTGCACGCCTTTGATCCCAGCACTGGGAGGCAGAGCCAGGCGGATCTCTGTGAGTTCAAGGTCAGCCTGATCCAGTGAGATCCAGGAGAGGCACCAAAACTACGCAGAGAAACTCTGTCTTGAAAAACCAGGGGATCTAGCTCAGTGGTAGAGCGCTTGCTAAAGACCCTGGGTTTGTTCCTCAGCTGGGGGGGGGAGTGCATGTCCCCCGCGCCCCCCCATCCCCACCTCTGAGACAGGGTTTCTCTGTGTAGTGGAGGATGGTTTTCAATTTTCAACTTCTTTCTGATCCTCCTGTTCCATTTTCTGAATGTTGGAATTGGAGACATGAATCACTCTGTCTAGTATATAGGGTATTGGGAGTCATACACAGGGCCCTGTGTATGCTAGGCAAGAACTTTGCTAACTGAGTGACATCCCTAACCCCTGGTATATTTCTTTTTGTTTTCCATTTTGCTTAAAGTCTTACTGTATTTGATTACTTGAGCATATCATGTTGAGACATATTTGTATGTGATAAAAATAATACTGGTTTTGTTAAATTAGAAGTATTTGTTGTGTATTCTATTTCTGTTTATCTACTTGCTTTGAAGGGTTTGTTGTGTTTATGAACACAAATTAATAGAATATCAGTGTTGGAACCTGTTTTTGGTGTGTGTGGTCTGTCTTGTGTTTATTTGGAAGTTCCTGCTGTGGAGTTCTATTTATAGTGCTGCATTGAGGAAGAGAGATGATGATGTATCTTTTGGCTGCTCCTACAAACAAAAGAGGATTCTTTTGATTTAACAATCATTTTGCAGCAGTAATTGCTGTCAATGTTGTAATTGTTTCTGGATAGTGTTAGGATAGTTATTCTATAGATAGCATGGTATTTATCATATACATATTTATTTATTTGTATGTGGGGAGAGGTCAAAGGACAATTTAGGGAGGTGATTCTTTCTTTTTACTTTCTGGGTTCCAAGGATTAAGCTTGGGTCATCAGGCTTCATGGCAAACACTTTTACTGAGCATCTAGCCAGCCCTAGTCATCCATTTCTCAGCAGACTAAAGTAGCGTGCTCAGTTTACTTTCCCAGGATTCCTTAATCTGCCTGTGACGATCCTCTTCACTGCTCCATTGCAGGGCTGGTCTGTTGGACAAAGTGCCGATGTTCGTGTTTTTACTTTGTACAGTGGTCTCATAAATTTGGAGGAATTCTGAGGTTGTGTTTCATATCTATTGTACCTTCCTTAATAAAATGTTCAATAAATAGAATTTGTTTTACCTTTCTCTTTTGTCATGATAGATAGATAACACCCTTTTTTCCCCCCTTCCCTGAGACAGGGTTTTTCTGTATAGCTTTGGCTATCCTGGAACTTACTCTGTAGACCAGGCTGGCCTCAGACCTGCCTGCCTCTGTCTCCTTGAGTGCTGGGGTTAAAGGTATGTAGATAATACCTTTAAGAATAGATGTAGAAGCCGGTGGTGGCACACGCCTTTAATCCCAGCATTTGGGAGGCAGAGCCAGGAGGATCTCTTGTGAGTTCAAGGTCAGCCTGGTCTACAGAGTGAGATCCAGGACAGGCACCAAAACTACACAGAGAAACCCTGTCTCGAACCCTCCCCCCCCAAAAAAAAAAAGAATAGAAATAGAATCCTATTCTTTCGTTTGCTCCTTTTTCAGTGAGAATAACAACATAGTTTGTACAATGATTATCCCTCACTTTGTGAAACCATTGTAATTTAGGTAAAATGGTCTGTCACTTAATAGTCTTTTGAATGCATTTCCCCATTTCTTGAATATTCTTCAAGACCACGATTTCATCCAGGCTTGATGGCTTAGATCTGTAATGCCAACCCTTAGGAAAAGTTGAGGCAAGAGATCTGGGTTTTCAGGTTAGGCTGGGCTACTTAATGAATGTGAGGCCAGTCATAGTTGCATAATGAGAACCTATATAAACAAAACAGTGTGATTCCAGAGCTAGTGGGAAAGCTCAGAGTTAGACCATGTGCTTAGCCTGTATGAAGCCAAGCTCAATCCCCCATCCCAATGCCCCATGATTTCAGTAGTTAGATAGTGACATTTTGTATTTAACAATCTGTGTTTCATTTAACTCATCTTTTGTTTTCAGACACTTGAGTCTTAGGGTTTTCCTTTGTTAAACAGAGCTTAGGCTTGTTGTAGCTCACTGACAGAGTCACTACTTACCATGTGTGAGACATAGGCTTCAGTTTACAGAACCAGTAAATAGGAGGGAAGAGATGTTGCTAATGTCTTTCCAACCTTCTTTTCTAGGGCTATTTGGAAGGATCAAATAGAATAATGTATACTTGTAGGATGAAATTTGAAAAACAATTTTTGTAGTTAATCTTAGTACCAAAGTTATGTTCAGTCAGAGTTTAAGTTTAATTTTTTAAATTAATTTTTATTTCATGTGCATTGGTGTTTTGCCTGCATTTATTTTATGTCTGTATGAGGGCATGGGATCCCCTGGAACTGGAGTTACACACAGTTGTGAGCTGGGAATTGGACCCATGTCCTCTGGAAGAGCATCCAGTGCTCTTAACTGCTGAGCCATCTCTCCAGCCCAAGTGTGATTTTTTTTTTTTGCATTCGTTTTATTTTATGTGTGTGTGTGTGCCTTGCACATGTATGGAGGTCAGAGGACAAATTGTGAGAGTCATTTCTTTGTGGATTCCAGGGAGTGAATTTGTCATGCATCCTTACTGGTTGAGCCATCCTGCTAGCCAGGAGTGTCAGTTTAAAGTCAGAAATAATTGTGTGTAAAGTTGGATGGGGCTTTTTTCTGTTGTGTATTTGGAACTGCTTTTCATTCATCCATTTATTCAGACTTATTCTAGCCTGTGTTTAGGGGAGTACATGTGAGCTTTGCCATGGTGCATATATGGAAAACAACCATGGTGTGTCAGTTTTGTCCCTCCTGCCATACATGGGTCCT